GAATCGAGATGCCGAGACTTGATGAGTCGGCTGTCGCCGAAGCGTCGGTTTCGTTCCTTGCCTAAAACACCCTGGTGCAGAAGAATCTGAGGAGGCAGAACCATTCGGACGGGGTATTTGTCCACCTCTGCCTCTTGGAGTTTAGCGTCATGGTGCTCTGAGGGCGGGAACAAAGGAAAGGAAAATCAAAAGGTGAGCACAGCCACGATGTTTACATAACGATGTCGACCTCCAACCATCAGTGGCGCGGTTAACTTCAGACTAAGTAATAATGCGCTTTTGGCGCGCGGCCGGCACAGAAAATACTGCGGGCAAGGAACTTTTCGTTGCGACAACGTCGAGAACAGAGGGGCAGGACCTAAAATTCGCGAGAAGCGGCAGGATGGAAGAGGGAAGCGACGAGAGTCGGCTGTTGCCGGCCGATGGAACAGTTCTGCTTGTGTGGATCCAAACAGTGAATCTGTTTCCATACGCACGCACCTCGCCTCGCAAAAGAGTAACGAAGCCCTCGTGCATTAAGGAACTCGCTCGCAGCGATTTTCCGGCTGCCGCCGCGCGATACGGTGGTTCGAGCCCACCCGAGGACGTGAGTCCATTCCCACACACTTGCTTTTTTTTCCTGCAGGGCGAAGTTCTGCAGATATTTAGAAGGCAGGAATAGACGTACGATTAGCCTGGGGAAAGCAGGGCAAAAAGAACGCACCTGGCAAAAACGTATTTCTGTTTTTCAACCTTGTCTGGTGCGACTTGTTTGTAGCTGAACTAACGCAGGGGGGGAAGTGTTCACCTACTCGTTCAGGTATAATTCTTCGTGGAGTACGGAACTCACTCCCACATGGTAATGGTTACTAGAGTAAGGGAGAATTTGGTTCGCCCACCCGAAGACATGAGTATGCGCTCAGGCTTTTTTCTTCCGATGAACAGCTTATCAGCCTCGCGGAACACTGCACACTGAGTTCGAGGCGATCGAAACTAAAAACACACCGAGAAGGCTGTAAAATCTTGCAGGCACTCTTGTTGCTACTTCGACGAGGAAACCTGGTAAACGTAGGAGAACGGAAAGACTGGAACAATTTTAAAATCGAACGATACAAAGCACCTGTTTTACCACCCAATCCCTGATCCCAATCCGACAGCCACCAACCCCACCACAGCCACGCCAACGCGCACTCGCCCCGCGCCCGACGCCGTGGTCCCCTTCCCTCCACCCGCACCCCCGTCCGCACCCGCACCCGCACTCGCCGCAAACGCAAGCTCCGCGGCCGACACATTGCTCGCAATCGCGGGTATGCGCGCGAGCACGGCGTTGCTCTGCGTGAGGAAGGAGCTGTTCGTGCGCAGGGAGGCGAAGTCGTGGGCGACGCCGCCGCTGCCGTTGGAGGCAAGGGCGGACATGGCGGTGGCGTTGTAGAATTTGAGTGGGGTGGGGCTGGGTGAGGGTGTTACATTCAGGGGATGGAAACGGATTGGGGGAACGAGGAGAGGATGGAAACGAGGAAGAACAAGCAAGAGAGGTCGGAGACAGGGACGAAAGTGACGAAAGGGAGGAAAGGAAGGGAGGAGGGAGGAGGGAAGACGGAGGATGAGACTCACGCAAACAGGCTATCCATCTCGTCAGAAAACACGAGGAACGCGTCGTGCCAGTTTTCCGTGGCGTAGATCGGGATCGTAGCGGGCGGTGTGTTTTCCGTTAGATTGCAGTACTGGTACGTCGTACCCTCCGTGTACGCCTATGCCACAAGGCAAATAAAAGGGATGTTCCAGGGAATAAAGAGAATAGTCAACGCACCAGAATCGCATGCGCACCCAGCCTCTGCGCGTTGTCAATCAGCTCCAACGAGCTCCCCGCGGGGCTGTTGGCGGTGCAGGGGAATATCGCGACCCATGGCGTGGACGAGGCGGCCTGCGAGAAGTGCGTCTTGTTGAACTGCACCGCGACGGCCTCGATCACGTATCCGCCCGTTGACTGTTCGTATAACATCGATGAGCGTTTGGTATGGAGGATAGAAAGCGGACGCACGTTATCTGCCAAGGTGCTATTCCCACCGTCCGTGAGCATGAATATCCGGGTGTCCACGGCGGTGTGGTCCCCGCTGTCGTTGGAGGCGTGCCAATTGAACATGATATGGCCCCCAGAGCTATCCGGTGGTGCCTGCGTCTCCGGGTTAAAGTCCCTAACGAAACGCGTCAGTTCTGCTGCTCTATATGGAGTGAAAATTGACTCGCACTGCATCGGTGGGGACCAAGGAGGCTGCGTCGACGCCCTGCGGACCCAGGATCCCTTGGCCGGCAAGGATGAAAAACAGTGTGAGCGCGCAGAACATGCTCGAGAAGAAAAAAACGAAATCGGAGGGAATTGAAGGATGTTCCAAGGGGAAGACGGCTCACTGTCTGCGGACACTGTCTTATGTCAAGCCTCGACATTGCCATGGCAATGTATGGGCTCGACGCACACCATTTGCACTCCATCAACGTTGATCGCGTTCCCGCTCGCGTTTCGCCGAGCTGCGAGGGCGGTATAGCATGCTTGCCGACCGGAGACACCAACACCGGACACTGGACAGTGGCACGGGCGGGGTGGTGCGGGAACAAAGGAAAATGATGGAATCAATCTTTGGTTGAATCTGACCCTGTTTGGCTAGCCCGTGGACATGTGATCTTGTCGCGTCGCGTCGACGCGTCGACGCGTGGTTCTCACCGGGCGATCGTCATGAAATGAATCGCAGCGCATCGTCAAAATTATGGTAAGGAAGAAGCAAAGTAATGAGCGCACTAACTAGTGTATGTTTCTTTGTTGGAATCTCTGGCTAAGCACTAGGACTTACGGTGATTGCCCACTGGCAGCGGCATTGAAAATAAAACATTTCGTGAGTTCAAAGGCGCGCTTCAGCTGCATAGTGATATACTGAGGCCTCCCGATTGGGCACAGGAGGTAAGGACGGAGTCATCTGGGGTTCCAGAACAGTCGCATCGTGTCCAAATAGCCAGTCTCTACGTTCAGTAAAGCCCCAGAATATTGGGTTGTCCGAAGTATCGTGCTTCATCAACTCGTCTCTGTGGAATTATGTCAGTTGAACCACTCCACATCCGAGCCTGGGCTCACCGTCTTTCCTGTTCAGATCCGTCATACAGATGCAACCATTCCTGCAACACACGCGTGTTCTGCGCAACATACGCCGCGCGCGGCTTGCGTTGCGCTTCATACGCGTTCAAGGCGGCGGGGATGTCCTCATGCGCACGCAACGCAGCCGCAAGTGTTGCCGCGTCCTCTGTCGCCTGCGCCGCCCCCTGTGCCATATACGGCATCATTGGATGGCATGCATCGCCCAGGAGCGCGACGCGACCCGCCGGATGCACCCAACGCTCCAGCTGCTCAAAATCCGCCAGCCGCCACTTCAAACACGTCCCCGCCAGCGTGCACAATTTCCTCACCGCGGGGCACCAATCGGCGAACCGCACCGCGAGGTGCTTACCCGTGTCCGCGTCGCTGCGCCATTCGTCCAGCCCGAGCGGCGTGCCGCGGTCCGTGCGGTGCGTCACGTCGATGATCACGTTGTACAGGCGCCCGCCGCGCAGCGGGTACCCCACCGCATGGCCCTCGGGCCCCATCCAGTGCACCGCCCACGGCTCCGTGACGAGGTTGCGCATTTCTGGGTCGGCGAGGAGCGGGGCGGCGGGGACGAGGATGCGGTATGCGACGTCGCCTGTGTCCGCGGGGTCGACCGCGCGTCCGTTCACTGCGCTGCGCACGGCGGATTTGATCCCATCCGCGCAGATGAGGAGGTCACCCACGACGCGCTCGCCCGAGCCTGTAATAACCGCAGGTGCGTCGAAGTCGTAAGAGGCCACAGGTGTGTTCATACGGAGGATGATATTAGGATTAAGGTCCACGGCGGCGACGAGCGCGGTGATGAGGTCCGCGCGGTGGATGAAGTAGTACGGGGCCCCGTAGCGCGCATCGACGTCGGAGAAGGGACAGTCGAGGAGCGGCGTGCCATGCCAGTCTACGAAGCGGTTCCCGCGCGAGATTTCTTTGGGCACCGAGTCGAGGTCGACACCCCAGGAAAGGCTGAGACGCGACGAGTTAGGCGGGACGCGGATGCCTGCGCCTACCTGGCATGCCCCGTTTAATGAGTGTTACTTTTCGAGAAGGAGAACTAGTAGTGCGCACCTCCAGGAACTCCTTGACAGACTCAAAGACGGTGACCTGGTGGCCATCCGTTGCAAGTGCGAGAGCTGACTGCAGCCCTCCGATACCCGCGCCCACGACGACGACATTGCGGTGTTTCATGCTGAAGCGCTGAAGAAGGGGACTGAATCGACGGGCGTCCGTCGGAGAGTGAACGTGTGATTGGGTGCATTCTGTGAGAATGCCCTTGCAGGTGCGTCATACAGGATGTGCGTATTGCGCGTTTCTTGATTGGGGACGTGTTGAGTTATTTTCGACGCCCGTTTACCGGGTTTGAGCTCCTCAACCGCAGTTTGAATCAGGGTGGAACGTTAATTTTTCAAGGACAAAAAGATTGAAGCTCAGCAATACCTGAAGTACAGATAAAATTTGGAAGCCTGTCGTCAGTTAACGGCCAATGCACTCAACAGATGGGGAGACTCTGGTACCTCGGTCGCATTGAGAAATTGCATTCACAGCCAAGCGCTCAGATTACAAGATATGCGTTTAACAATCGAGCGATCAGGTTTCCTTCCAACTTGAATGGTTAGTGCGTGAATTCGCCCGACCTTGCCTGTCCCTTGCGGCAGTGCCTTGCCTGTCCCGCCTCCGGAGACTGCGAGGTAGTGCCAGTGACAAGTCAGATGGTGATTGTTGCAGGACACTTAACCTGAGGATGCTTCCGAAGGACCGGCTGGAAGGAGAGAAAACGGCTGTGGAAGTAGGGAGCAAGTTTGGAGCACGGTAAAGTTGTGACTCCGTGTGAAAATGATCGACAGCCGTGCCGAATGCGCCCCAGGGTTACAATGCCAACGTCAGACCTGTCCTCACCGGCCGAGTGGCAAAATGGTTACTGCGTTGCTTTCCGACTACACCGGCTTGCACCGATAGTGAGGCAGAGACTGTGGGTTCGAGTCCCACCTTGCTCGTTCTTTTGTGCCGTTCAACACTGTTTTCTTGCGCCTGCCCTCGCTGTGTGGCAAAACGCACCAAGCCGAAGGGGCAGCGTGCGCTTGCAGGCATTTCGCCCCAGTGGAAAACTTGCTAAAATTCCTCGTCCGGGCGCCATCGGTATCGATGTCGGACGAATTCTCGATTTTGTTATGGAAGTCTTTGGGAAGTTTCAAGGTCGATTCCTCAAGGAGCATTTTCTGTACCGTGTGGGTTTGGGTTCAGTTTGAAAAGTTTGAAGAAGTAAACGGATCAGACGCAGATGTAGATTGAATCATAGGTGCCTTCCAATTCATTGAAAGGAAAATATTGTTTCGCGAGCTCGGAGTACCTTTTTAACTGTTCATGTACCGAGTCTGCTGAGATTTGGTGAGATAGTTTACTTGGCATATATCTGGTCCATTTGGTAGCAGTATCTATGCAGGCGTTACTCATTGGGCACCTTGCCTATATCTTCCTGGCTCCTCAGTCTTTGGAGCACAATCGCTGAATTACATTTGGAAGGCGTGAGCACATATTGTAAAGTCAACCTTCTCGGCTGGCTCTTAAGTCATTAATTGCAGGTGAACAACAGCGCGCCGCGGCGCCGTGTGACGAATTTATGCCTGGGTTAAAAACAAAACTCTCGGTTGATTCTCGGGCGGCCAGCGGCGATAGCCGGCCACATCAAGTTACGGCATTTCACACCTCTTCATCTCCCGTCATGCAATTACCACAAGAGCTCATCGAGGCCATCGTGGAACAGGTGGAGGGCAAGGATAGCCTGCAATCTTGCGCCCTGACCACGCGTGTCTTCCTCAATGCCAGCCAGCGGTGCTTGTTCCGGTCCATTTCTCTTCGCTGGGAGATTGCATCGCGAAACGCTGCCGCCTTTGACCGAGCACTGGACTTCGTAGTTCAGGTTCCGCACCTTGTGCCCTATGTACGGGAGGTTACTCTCGATATTCCGACCGAATGTAGGGACCAACAAACACTGGAGAATATTCTTTGCATGCTGGGCGACATCGAGCACTTGACGATCCACGGCCATTGCAAGAACTGGTGCCGGGTTATTCCTCCTCTAGCCTCTACCATATCCAATGTCATATCTCGACCCTCACTTCAACGGCTCAACCTCTTCAGCATCTGGCATATTCCCCCTGCACTGGTGCTCCACGCGGTCTCCTCTGTCCGAGTTTTATCGTTGTATGCCGTCAGCGCAGACCCGGACCAAATTGTTCCGTCGGATATCGGTGCGAACACTCAGCTAGAGGGGCTTATTCTGCCCTCGTGTGTCGTGGTTCAGGCTCTGCTCCGATCCTACAGTTTTCTTCTCGATGTACAGAATCTTCGGCATCTTGCGGTGTACGTCCATGAAGCAGGGCATCATCGTACACTAGCAGCTGCGTCCGCCCTGCATTTGCATAATCTAGAGCTCGAATGTGGAGGTGTGATTGGGATTTTCCCTCCGCTCCCAGATCGCTAATTCTTATTATTAGCATTTTCGATCCCACTGGATCTCCCGCACCTGCCAGAGCTCCGTTCTCTCTCGCTCAGTTTTATGGTATCAGAATCGACGCCGGGCGTCTGGACCCTCCCAGAAATGCTGCGCCCCACCATCACAGCACTTCCCACCGCAGCCCCCATCCTCGACACCCTGACATTTACCGTGCTTTTCCTCTACCGGCAGACCGACATGCCCTGGCAGGACCGTTTGGCCCTGCCCTACTTTGAGCCCTCTTCATCCCCGAACTATCGGCAACAATTCCCGCATCTGCGCAGCATCTGCTGCTGTCTTGCGGATCCATCAGCACCTCTCAGCGCCCACTTCGAGCGCGCCTTTGCGGGCTTCACTGCGTACATGGAGTCTAAGCTGTATGCTGCATACGCTGATGGGATCGTGACCGTGCGGCGAGGGATTCAGACGTCGCGGTTCAACTCTTTTGATCATTTGCGATGATGTATGTGTGTGAGCGGTTCAATTCTTCCCGCTTGTTTTTGGGTCTGATGATAGTCCAGTGTCTAGCATGTCAATGAATAACATCTGAATGTAGTAAGCGATACAGGCAGAGTAATTACAGCCATTTGCAGTACCGAAGGCGCGGATCAAATTTTCCATTTTGAGCAGTTTTTGAAGAATTCCTCATTTCTCAACGAGCATTGCACTTGGGAATATTTAAACCACAAACACTTTGTCTACTAACTCATCCGCAATTACTCCTAGAGCCAGAATTTGGTAATTGTACTTTTTTACACCATCTGAAATACGACGGTCTGGCTGGGTTGAACTTGAGGTAGAAGCCTCAGCTGAAGTTCAATGCAGCTGGATTTTTTAGGAGGTTGAAAGTATAGTATTCTGAAGGATCTCATAGAGCGAAATTACATCTACTTACCCGTCCGAATTCCTACTGGCCTCCGAGACATTTGCTCAGATTGAACGTTCACTGGCTTGCCAGTTCAAAGCCCAAAATTCAAAATTCGGCTCTATCACATTGTCCCTTGAGTATATGAGTACCCATCAGTACGAAATCTAGCTGTTTCAACAAAGGCTGAGTGAGTTAATGTCAAATTACGCCAATACAAGCCTCATAGTGCCAGAGGTACAAAATATAATATTTTTACAGGTCCTTTTCTATCACTAATTGCGTGTGAGCTAGCCCGAATTACCTAGCTATGTTTCATCCCGATCCGTGGAGAACTCAGAAAGATATGGGCAATTCGGCCGCGAGGATCAAAATTCGGCCAACTAATGGGAAATTTTCCATCCGCGCCTTCGGTACTGCATATGGCTGTAAGCGGACGAGCACCGCTAGCTTTGTATGGTCTCGTCAGCCGCTGGTCGGGCGGGGTTCGGTGTCTGAATTCCTGAGGAGCCTGAGGAGCCTCTGCTTGTCTTCTTGCGTCACGGCAAGCCCTTTAGCTAACCGTTCTAGCCCCGAAGAAATTCCCTTCACGGACGCGGTGGGTTTATTTTCGCGGTTGAGCTTGTCCTTTCTATTGACCATAACCTACCAGGCCACTAATAAATTGGCCCCCCGCCGTATTCTGTGCCGGGGCAAGGAAGAAGGAAGGATTCCTGTTGACATTCCATTTCCCCACAGACTGAGACTGGCTCTGCGATTCCAGTATGCGCAAGTGGGTCCGTTCTCAGTAGACCTCTAAGTCGTCGAGTTGAGCTGACGTATAACTGTATAACTAGAACCCTGTCCAGATCGTTTATAATAGAATGCGCAATTGATGGGTTGCACTGGAATCGTCGGCGTCCCGTGTTTCGACGGCATCGGATCCCGCTGTTTGTCGCCTGCTTTGCGTCAGCATCCCGCTCTTTCCGCTCTTTATTTCCCGTGAGCTAATCTCACATTCTCAATTTGCATTCGACTGAGTCTGATGGAGACTAGACGCGACTCGGACGGCGTCTCTCGAGCGGACTTACAGGAGCTTTTCGGGCTGATTTGGACAGCCGGTGCGCACTTCTCTGCACGCATGTTTCTCAGTATTATACACCCGACGGTGACACACGGTCTCGATTCTCGCAGTCTCGGACTCGACTCGGACTATGTATATACGCAGCAAGTGCATCAAGAAAACCGGTTGCAAAATCCGACTTGACAGATCACGAACACAGTGGAATCCCCAACCCGCACGTTCCAGCATGTCCATCGGTCGTTCAGTTTGAGGTAAAAAAATTGTGCTGCGAAGTTGAGATGCGCAGTAAATCAGACACTCGGTTGTAGGTCGGCGAGCGTGGAGCCAGAGATCGGTATGTATTCAATCTTCATTCCCCGAGGGTATACGAACAATTGAATTACTTTCAAATTGCAGCCAACACGCAGCGAGTCACGCCAAAAATATCTGCAAATCGGCGGCGTCGGGATTCGGCGATTCAGTCTGTAGCGACCGTTCTCGATGGCTCGGCGATGCGGAAGCAGACACATTGTGGGGGATGTAATGGTATTGCCTATATTCTGGCTTTCAGAATCAGTCAAGATTGTGTGAATCTGTTACGAATCGACTGGGAACGGGCCATTGACATTCCGGTTCAATGCTTAACGCGGTCCCACCCCTACCAGAACTGGGTGAATCGGTTGAGAAACGAATGAGAAACGACTGCCGGAAACCGGCAGATCAAATCTGATCTTTTGATCAAAATCTCGGCTACTGCCATACTTTTTGCAAACAGCTGTAATCCGTACACCGTGACTTAGGGAGCTTTGAAAATCACCACAAATCATATTCGTTATCCGTGCAGTTTCAAAGACGCCTGAATCTGATTACTGTAGTATTTCATTCAATTCGGCACCCCTTGTGACGCGTGACACGTTCAACCGATTCGTCAGTTCGTCAACCGCCCAGGCAGACCGTGACATACCTGGAAATTTCGGCAGCCTTTAGAACTTATGCCGAGTGTAAGGTGAGTGTAAGGTGTATCCACAGTATGATTGAACAACAGTCCAACAGAGTAAACACCAAATTCTATACAAGGTTGGAACCATTTTGGAATGTGGGTTGAATTCTCAGTCTTTTGCGTCTGCAGGCCTGTGAGATGCGAGATTGCACTGTGTTAAACACCAAAGCGCCCGCGGCGACAAAATTTTTTGGTCTTTGGCTATCTGGACCCAAAATTTGAACCTCCCGTGACAAAAAGTCATTTCGTCAAGGCCGCCGGTGACCTGTGACAACGACCAAAATTCGGCGCCGTCAGAGCCATCCGTGACGCGTGACCGCCGAACTGATTGAAATACTACAGTATTGCCTTGCCGTCGTACCCATCCACAGGCAAAAGTTTTGCATCTCCTTCAGTCCGGAAAGGCAGCCAAGACAGCTCGCACCATCAACCGACTGAAGGTCCATGTCCCCAGGACTCAGTCTGGAGTCGCCGGATGCTAATTTACCGTCGGCTGATCATAAATTATCTCTCGCAAGATTCTGGGAATTTTTTCCGGTCTGCAGCAAACAGAAGCGAACATGCCCGAGATCCCCGCGTCACGACGCCCTGGAG